AGATCCAAAGTGAGACACAGAGGCTTCCCTCCTAGAATTCCCTCCACAGGAAAACAGTAAAGGTTGCAGTGTAAAAGTTTTTAAAAGATGATAGTATGGGGCTGAGCATAGCTCAGGGTAGAGTGCTTGCCTAGCATGGGTAAGGCCCTTGTTCCATCCCTAACACCACAAAAAAAAAAAAAAAAAATACTATGATGCACTCAAAAGGCAAAAAAAGAATGTTGATAATTTACGTGTATCATGAATAAATTTAATGTCTTCTGGCTTATTTTGACATTTTTATAAATTCTGTGGAGATTTAATTTACTCTTTTGGTATATTTTAGGAATTAACAAATATTCACAGCAAGAAAAAATAACTATTAAATTCATAACTTTTATGTTTCTATATTTTTATCTATTCCATTAATCCAATTTGGAACATGTCTTTCCTTTGTTCTCTGGATTCTTGATCTATATTCTTGTTAGAAATAATTTAAAAGATTAAGCTTTTTACTGTCAGAGAAATGCAAATCAAAACCACCCTAAGATACCATCTCACTCCAGTAAGATTGGCAGCCATTATGAAGTCAAACAACAACAAGTGCTGGCAAGGATGTGGGGAAAAGGGTACACTTGTACATTGCTGGTGGGACTGCAGATTGGTGCAGCCAATTTGGAAAGCAGTATGGAGATTTCTTGGAAAGCTGGGAATGGAGCCACCATTTGACCCAGCTATTCCCCTTCTTGGTCTATTCCCTAAAGACCTAAAAAGAGCATGCTACAGGGACACTGCTACATCGATGTTCATAGCAGCACAGTTCACAATAGCTAGACTGTGGAACCAACCTAGATGCCCTTCAATAGATGAATGGATAAAAAAAATGTGGCATTTATACACAATGGAGTATTACTCTGCATTAAAAAATGACAAAATCATAGAATTTACAGGGAAATGGATGGCATTAGAGCAGATTATGCTAAGTGAAGCTAGCCAATCCCTAAAAAACAAATGCCAAATGTCTTCTTTGATATAAGGAGAGTAACTAAGAACAGAGTAGGGACGAAGAGCAGGAGAAGAAGATTAACATTTAACAGGGATGAGAGGTGGGAGGGAAAGGGAGAGAGAAGGGAAATTGCATGGTAATGGAAGGAGACCCTCAGGGTTATACAGTGGAGGAGGTAGAGAGAGAGGAGGGGAGGGGAGGGGAGAGGTGGGGAGGGGGGAGGGTGGAGGATGGGAAAGGCAGTGGAGCACAACAGACACTAGTATGGCAATTTGTAAATCAATGGATGTGTAACTGATGTGATCCTGCAATCTGTGTATGGGGGGAAGGTGGGAGTTCATAACCCACTTGAATCAAAGTGTGGAATATGATATGTCAAGAAATTTGTAATGTTTTGAACAACCCACAATAAAAAATAAAAAATAAAAAAAAGATTAAGCTTTTTAGTGAAAGTTCTTACCTTGATATCCTCCCTGGAGAGACTAAGAATGAAGAAAGCCAGCTCCCAACCTAAGCTCCAGAAGTAGCCTCACCCACCACCCCCTACCATGCACTACTTCACTGAAATTTCCACTCACTCTACAGGATAAGACCCAGGCTCCTTCTACCTATACATTCCTGACTCCTGTGTACATTATCACACTGATACCAAACTCACAAGACTGGCTTTTTCTATTATTTATTTTAAATTTTAAAAAAAGAATAATTATATCGAAGTGTATATACCTTCAATGAAGTTGCATATACTCTTATAGTGTATAATCTTACAGTATTATAATGAAATTCAGATGATTGTGCAACACACTTCATTTATATACATTCAAATTAAGCTCAGGACCATGGCTGTGAATACTATGAGGTGTTCTTCCAAAAGGCATTTCAAGATTTTGCACCATTTTTTGGAACTGGAAATGGTCATAAATACCATATTATGGAAAATTATTGGATAGAAGGCCAGACAAATGACTCTTGACTATACACAGTCACATGTAACCTTATGTTAGAAACTTCATGTAGCTATGATAAATCTCTTTCTTTTTTTAAGAGTAATTACATTAAATAATCGGGTGGTTTTATCTAAGAATTATTTTAGTGGTTTTAGTCATTTCTTAGGGAAGAAACCTCATTTATTTTCATTCTTCCCAAGACACATTTGGATAGAATTCATTTTCTGTTGAAAATTGGATCTGCCTCCTGAGGGGCAAGGTTAGTCAGATCTGTCATTACTGCATCTCATCCTTTGGCCTCTAAGGAATGTCAAGGTTAGCTGGTCAAAAGCTAAGAAGGGTGAAAGCCATTTAAAATTTACAGTTTTTTCCATGGTCACAAGTCTCTTAATTCATACTGCTTAGCTACATCTCTCGAGCTTGCCAAAATGCATTTTTTGAGTTTTTTCAAGAACTCCCTTCTTCAGAGGAGACGTTGGAATGGGAGCCTGGTGACCAGGCAAGGCCTGCTTTCACACCACAGAACCCTTGGCTTGCATATCATGGCTATTAACATTTAAACTAGCAATGGTTGACCTTTAAGGGAAAAGAAATTACTCTGAGTACCAAGAGCCAACTGTGCATTCCTTTCATTTATTTACCCTCATGAGATCAAAATATGGAGAAAATGTTATTGGCAGTGTATTATTTATTCAGAAATGTCATTGAGTTCTTCAGTGATAGGCTTACATTAATAGGAATTTGAAAAGCATCTTTATAAATTAATGGTGTTCATCAACATGTGCAAAATATAGTATTCCTAAATTCCAGTATTTTAGTGATACAGTCTCTCAAGAGATTGAATAACATAATGTGTAAGTAATATCAGTAATATTCAGATGTACAAACTTGAAAGACTGATGGTGGCTTTTATGGTATTTATGGGCTTTTAAACACATTTAAAGGAAATCATTTAAAAATAAACCAGCCAGGCATAGTGGTACATGCCTGTAATCCCAGTGGCTCAGGAGGCTGAGGCAGGAGGATCACAAGTTCAAAGGTAGCATCAGCAATTTAGTGAGGCTGTAAACATTTAGCGAGACCCTGTTTCAAAAAAATAAAAAAAGGGCTGGGGATGTGGCTCAGGGGTTAATTGCCCTGGATTCAATACCTGGTACCAGGAAAAAAAAAAAAAAGTAAACCAACTTTGTAGTTCTTCAGATCATGAAGAACTCAGATCCACAGTGATTTAGTCAAGGTCTAGTGCTGTGGAAAGCTCTAAGGAGCTCAATGGTAGCAGCTGCTATGAAGGGCTGTCTGCAATTTCAAAAGCAAAGCTATTTTTAAGGGCTCAATTTCAGTTGCTTTGGACATTATTCTTTCTTTACTTTTTCTACAGTGGACATGTTGTTTAAAGAAGGGGGTGAAGACAGAACTAAATGTACAATGTCTGTGCCAGGAAAACTTATGGCAGTATCTCTTGCTATCATGTCATGTGTCTTTTGATTCTCTGAAATGGATCCACATTTTACTTGCAAAATATCAACTGAGACTCTTTACCCATGAGTCTCATTTTCCTGTCCCTTTACTGCATATCTTGGATTTATAGTATACAACTGTAAATAAATGATATTTAGTTAGGAGAGATTAAGCATTCAATAGTTTCTCCATGTAATGAATGCTGGTTGGTGATGCCAAAACTGAAAGAAGAAATCTAGTAGCAAACTTAATTTCTTAGTTTTGAAACCAACCGCTTGCTGGGGATGGTGGCACACACCTGTAATCCCAGAGACCCAGGAGGCTAATGCACAAGGATTGCAAGTTTGAGGCCAGCCTCAGCAGTTTGGCAACACCCTTTCTCATAATAAAAAAATGCTGAGTCTGTAGCTGCATAGTAAAGCACTCCTGGGTTCAATCCCCAGTACCCTAAATAAACAAATAAATTGAACAGCTTCAAGTGGCTATATATATTCTTATAGTTTCTCCAATAAAGAAATAAACACATTTTTAAAGTCTAGCATCTGAGACATATATGGAATGTCTTTGGGTCGTGGCCAGGCTGTATCTATATATAGCTGTTTTGAGCTGCAATGCAAATGTTTATATCCTAGTAACACAGAAACAGAAGGGAAAGGAGTGACAGTGAAAGCCACAGTCTTGGGAGGAACCCAGATTAGAAAGGCCCTCTGTGGCTGAAGTCACAGTGCACGTGCTAAGTGCTAGATAAGTTGTGGTGCCTTAATTAGAGACACTGTAACATAGTGGTCACTAGCCAGACCTGAATCCCAATTCCACCACTTTCCAGCTGTGCAGACATAGACAGCTTACTTAGGATATCTCTGTGCCTGAGCTTCCTCATCTGTAAAATGGAGATAGTAAAAGTGTTCTGTCTCCTAGGGTTTTTATAAGATTGGGAGCATTTACAGATAAGGTACTTTGAATGCTGTTTGGTACATTAGTGAGTGCTCAATAATAGGTAGCTGTTATCTGTGGCATTAGTAGTAGTACCAGTGGCAATGCTGTCAGTGCTAGTAGTAGCAGTGGTAATAGTCACAACTGATTAAGTTCTTTGCTGGCTTCAGACAGACAGTGGATAAATGGCCCCCTTCTCGGGTTTCCAGGACATTTAGTTGCTAAGACAATAACACTATATTTTCTTTTGTAGTGGGACTTTCTTTAAGATATCAACTTCTGGAATTTTACTTATTTATTTTTTGTGGCGCTGAGAATCAAATTCAGGGCCTCACACATGCTAGGCAAGAGTTCTACCAGTGAGGTGAATCCCCAGCCCTATATCTTTTAAGAGCCATTATGTTAATGTTTTATATCCACATGGTTTTTAAAAGTTTAAACAGTATAGAAGAATATCAAATGCAAAAGTAAAAAACTCCCCCTCCACCACATTCTAGTATTATTTTCCAGAGAAGAACACTTTTAACCATTTGTTCTTACTTCTTTTTTTTTTAACCTGTTCGAGATTTTATTAGTGTTCTTACTTCTTTCATAATTGAATGAACTACTATTCTTCCATTTACTGATTCATTAACGTCAGGCAGTACTATTATATTAATATTTAGTGTTTTTCTTACCAGCTAGATGTTCTTTCAGGCATTTGGCACCAACCAGCTGATAACTTTGTCATGTGAATCTCTGTATTTCCATTTCTGTATCTGTAAAACAAGGAAATAGGTATTAGAGATCATTTAAACTAACTTAAAGGAGAAAAGAGAAGGCCACTAATTTGTACATGGAATTCAGAGACAAAAATGTTCAGAGGATTATCTGGATCTAGGTGCTAAGATAGTATCCCAATTTTAAATTTCTTTCTTCTCTTGTCTTTTCTCTTTCAACTTGGCTTTTTATGTATTATAGACTCCCTTTTTATAGACTCTTCCATGACTGGCAGCCCTAGGGATTCTGTCCTTTTATTTAGCTGTCAAAGGACAAAGAGACACATTTCTCTTCCATCTTTGGTACAAAACAATCCCAGAAAAGGGCCCTAATTGGCCGGGGCTGGCCTCGGTTGTATGTTTATCCTTGGATGATTTGCTGAAGCCACACAGTGGTCGGCTAGTTCTGAACCACACCCTCACCCTGTTACCACGGGTTGGAAGACTATGACTGGCAGACCCCCAAGGAACAGGGCAGAAGCAGGTTGGTAAAGGAGGAGAGGACTGCAGTCACCAGATGGAGGGGGGAGGTGGTAAATAATAAAAACAAATGTCCATGTAACTTGGAGTTTCAGGAAACTGATTTCAAGAAGAAACTCGTTCAGTTCTCCATCCATAGTGAGTCATGACTGCTTTTATGAATGCTTACTGCCATGTCATCAACCAATAGCCTCATTTTCCTTCCAGAAAAAGCATGACCTCCGACTACACATTCTTTAACTTAGTATCAGCCATTAGCAGCTTCTGGCAGCATTTCCACAGCACTCGAAAAGCACATTAGACCTCAGTGTGACTTCCAGACAGACGTCAGTGCTTCCGATCCTAGCCCCAACACTCGCATTCAATGCAGCCCTGTTAGCAGCACTTTTGAGTCTTTATTATCTGCTGCTACACAGTGCACACACAGGAGAACCATTTCCTCTGTCTGTACAGGGACCAACTTTGTTTCCTCGGGGTACAGTCTATGCTTTGTAAAAATGACTGTAGAACAGTGCAGTGATGGGAAGAATAGGCCCTATCAAGGAAAACAATGCCTAGAGTTGACTGAAGTCCTCACCAAGTACTGAAAATGCCCCTGGGGCACTTCTCTAGGCAAACATAAACTTGATGCCATTTTGACTGACAACCAAATAAAACAAAAAAATGGGCATCGGTACAGGCTGCTACTGCCTGGAATGTGATGGAGGGCCTCACAGGAGCCAAATTAAGAGCCGCATCACAAGGTTCACGAATGCACTCATTTGGGAATGGGAGTTTTATATTTTGGATACTATAAACACAAAAATATAAGAACCACCATTCTAAGAGTCCTGATGCTTTCATTAATATGTATATATGAATATATATATATATATATATATATATATATATATATATATATATATATATGTAAAGTATAGACTTTTCCCCTTTATTACAAGATTCATTTCTCTTTTGCATATTCCTCATCAAAGGATGCCTGGCCATCTCTTCACAGAAACGCTGTAATAATAAAGATGGTACAAAGAACACTGTTCTGGCTCTGTGAAACCTGGCTTGTGGGTGTGAGACAATAATGCCATGTCACACCCTGCCAGTGCCATACTAGCCCTGTGGGCTGGGGCAGCTTGAAGGAAGGAGGAAGAGGTGGTGTGTATTATTAAGAAGGGCTTCAAGAAGAGATCAGCATTGAAATGGGCACAAAAGGATGAAGGAGGTAGAAGACCACCTCAGCAGATGAAGAGAAATTGGGGGGATGGGCTCCAGATCAGGAGAAAGGGACACGAGGAAGGAAAGCCCATGGGGAGTTTAGGGCATGATAAATCGGGCCATTTTGGAGAACAAAAAACATGAGAGATGGAGCAGTTGTTGGCGATCAGGTTGTTAGGACTGTTTGGGACCAACCTGGAAGAGTTTTGAATGTCAGACATTAGGAGGGGGAAACATGAGATTGGAGTAAGAAACACGTTGGGTTTGAAGAGGCACATATATGTTATGTTGAAGCAGGTAAGAGAATTGCAATTCAGGACTGTGGTCTGCGCTGGGGAGATTAGGGAATGAGGGTGAAGCAGTTGACTCCTGGTACAAAGAGGAGCCTAAGGAAGTTTAGATCTTGGTGAAATACCTGGATTTAGGGAGTCAGAAAAGACCCAGCAGAGTGTCCAAAGTAGGAAAGCAGGATAGTTGTGGTGGTGATGTCAGAGGAGAGCAGTTCTTCAAGAAAGGCGTGGGAGGGTGGTGATACATGGTCCCTTGCTACAGAGATCTCAGAGAAAGGCAGCCGCACCGCTGGAACCCGGATCTTGAGCACAACATAACCCTATCTTTACATTGAAGAAAATAGCTTCAATGAATTTTTGGAAGATTTATAAAATCACGCAAAAGGATAAAGATGCATTATGGTGACAAGAAAGAGAAAATTTATTAACAGGACAGTGGCCACTGAGACTCTGAGGTACTGCAGCTCACATTTCTATAAGGCAGAGCATTTGGGTGGGATCACTTCCAACCCTATCTGCACGGGCATGGCTTCAAAACAGATAAAACTCAAAAGCTTTTTTTTTCCTACTTCTGGGCCACATTTATTTATAGGTGTATCTGTCTTATGGGGGAAAAATACACAGGGCACCATGGCACACTCCTGAGTCCCAACAACTTGGGATGCCGGGGCAGGAGGATCACATGTTCAAGGCCAGCCTCAGGGCAACTCAGTGAGATCTTGCCTCAGAATAAAAAGAACTGGGATATAGCTCAGTGGTAGAGCACCCCTGGGTTCAATTGAAATAACGTTAGCTAATTAGGTGGTGATTATTCATAGGTTAATAGTATCCTTTCTTTTCTAAGAAGATTTACCATAGAATTAGTCAACTCTTGTAGTGCCTTTAAATTCTATTTCTGCTTACCAAAAGCTGATATACATTTTTTCAAAATGGATGTGATAATAGCATATGCACACACACACACACACACACACATATATATATATACAGTATTAATTCATGTGTTAATATATCTGTGTGTCACATATATTACCACAAAAATTAATACTATACTAGGACTGATTTCATTGTTTACTGGTTCCTTTAAAATTAGTTTCCTTACAAAAAATGTTTAAATCTTAAAGGGCTAATGAGATCAAGTCAAAAATCTAAAAGTTTATTAGGACCTTCCAGGTATTACATTATAAATATCCATTTTAACGTTGAGAAATGATCCCAGAAAGGAAAAATGAACTATCCAAAGTCATAATAGCTCATGGCACAGCTGAAGTTGAACTATTTGAACATTGCTCTATTTTGTTGACTTCGTGTTCTTACTTGTAAATAACCTGCCTGATGGTGACTTTATCTCTAAGATTACTCCCTTAGAAAAATGCAGCTGTGTGTGGCCAAGTGCCATATAGCTTGATGGAGCAAATACTTTTTTTGTTTTAGAGAAACCTGGGGATTTTAATTAAATTAAGCAAATATTTGTTGAGTGGTCTGTGAGTAAAAGAAGCAAAACTGTTTAAAAGGGGCGCTGAGAAGTGAGAGAATTGCTATTTTGTAAAGACATTTGGTGAGCAAATAATAGTTACTAGTTTTCAAAGATATAACCCTTTACCCTTAGTAGTAATTCATTCTTTTATTTTTATTTGTTTGTTTATTGGGGGTGTGCTAGAGATTGAATCCAGGTGCACTTTACCACTGAGCCACATCCCCAGTCCTTTTTTTTTTTTTCCTTTTTTGAGACAAGGTCCTGCTAAGTTGTTCAGGCTGGCCTCCAACTTTCGATCCTCCTGCCTCAGCCTCCCAAATCACCAGGATTGCAGGCCTGTGCCACTGCACCCCACAGTAGTAATTCATTCTTAAATACTGATTACACCCGATCGCTCTAGATATATTCACTTTAGCAAGTGTAAGCTAAAATAGAAATGACACAGAAGAGATGGCATGAGCTCACTCTACAGTTAAGATGAAAGCTGAGGAAACATTAACCATATGAAATCTTAAAATACCCCAGATTCTTCACTTCATGGTAAGACAGAAAGTTAAGTGTCTTTCCATCTTTTTTCCCCAATTCTTCAAACTCTCAACAGAAATTTTATGCTTGAGACCACAGAGTTTCTCAACATCTGTCTCACAGGGAGCTTTTCTTTGGTGTTTCAGTAAGAAATTACATCATTGATTTTGCCATAGCATCATCAAGAAAGGTTGGAAAACAGATTCCTCTTCAAAAATATACATTGTCTGTGTTTAAGAATCAATACCAAACATTTGCAATTGGGAACAGTTCATGTTCCTTTTAATGTCCACTAAATTAGCATAGCTTTTATAAGAATCAGCAGCTAATATCTTCCTGCTGTTTTAACTGGCCTTTGAAGCAGTAGAAATGAAAATCATTTAAGGCATTTCACTGGGATGCTGAGTTAATGCTTGGGGAACCTGACCTCGCATTCCTCCCCCAGAGGCTGAGGCCCAAACACCAGTGCCCCCTCCCCCCCGCCATTCCTTCCGATTGCAGATACCATCAAAGTGCATCCCATCTCATGTACAGTTTATATGTCAGGCTCCAGATTCTGATCTTCTGGTGGAGATGCAAATGCTTTGGACCACATCTGCAGCCTGCACAGAGCCAAAATGACCATTTACCCCCCAGATGAGAATTCTACCCCTGGGGAGCTAGCTGCAGAATTCTGCTGCTGAAGAAGAGTTCCAATCAGTCCTGACCCTTGACAGCACCCCATCTCCCCATCTCTCAGTCCTGACTCCTCGTGCTGCAGGAGAGCCGCAGCTATCCTTTGATTTTTCAGAGAGGTTCCCAGAAGGATTATGAATTGGTCAGCAATTGCTCCCTCCCTCTCTTTTTCTCATGGTACATGGAATGACTTCAAATAGAGATCAACTTTATGTATCCAGACATAAAGAGCTCCTGTCTTTCTGTAGTGGAGCCAAATGTGGCTCTTATTCTACACGCGAAGGACAACTCTTTCTAAAAGAGACTCGAGTCTTGTGCTAGTTTTGCTCAGGCCACTTCTCTCT